TCAACCTATTAAAATGGAAGCAGAGCCCACGGAGATCTTACGAGTGGTGTCGTGTCTCAGGCACACACGCACAGCCATGCCTTCAGACCGAGCAGTGGCAGCATCGTGTGTGCGCAGGGCTTAACCCCAAGCCACACTCCATGCTAGGTTAGCCGAAACAGGCCAGACGCATGCATGCATTTGGATATGGCGGTTATCATGGAATGGACCTCAACGGTCGTGAAGTAGGCAGCGTGATTATTGAGGCGTGTGCAAAGGCCTCAAGAGCAGATTACAAGAGATATTCTCTTAACATCTGTGGCTATTTGAGAACTTTGTGTGCATCACCAAGTCCTGCATTTTCGATTAGCAATTGGCTGTCTTTCATCAATTTGCTCTATCGAATTCTCTGTGATCATAGGTAATCCGAGGATTTGCAAAGATTACCTACATCCAGGAAAAATGCTCATCGGCTGCTCACATTAACTGCTCCTTCGAAGTTGCTCTTGATGCTTTTGTACATGCTTCTCTGATTACGTCGACCACGTCGCAGCTGTTGAGCCCAAACTACACGATCACCAACACGTAAAGACAGAGGTGAGAAGAATAATAGTGGGGAGCAATGGACTGCCAACTTGGAAGTCCACTTCCAAACTGCCAAAAAATGCGCACATAAGTGTCGGCCTATATAGCAATATGAATGGCCAAAGATGGTCATTGGTGATCGAAAATCAACCAACGAATCGCAATTCATGCATCTGATTGGTCTGCACCTACTCACCAACCACCCTTCGTCGATTGGCCACATTGAATATGCTTCACTCGTGCTGCTGCTTCTTAGTCTGCTATAATTTTGGCTGAACCACGGGATGGCAGTCGGTTAGGCCTTTCGGTTCTTACCTCTATAACGGACACTATCATAGCATTCACGTGCCGTGGAGCTGTAGCTTACTGACAGATGCCAATTAGACAGTTAGACGTGTATTGCTATTTAGATTACCGGTTAATGCTGCTCGGTACAGAAAACAGGCCTGCTAATGAAATGGGGTGCTTGCCATAACCGGCAATACAAGAATAAAATAATTACGCACATCATGACGTGTTGTTTCAGTGTGGTAGATTACACGCAACCCCATTGCCTAAGGCTGTGCATTTGTTTTTGAGGTTGTGACTAATTTTATGCCAGATTGCAAAAAGCCACTTAACTTTATCGCGCTCTGTTAATTTTAGCAGAGTACACTGGATGTAATGGTATATTTAAAACGGCTGAATAACCCAAGGAAACAAATATGACTTCTGTCCACTACTCCACACCTCACCGTCCATATATCTATCTTGACCTTGACACAGCTCACGACACTGAGATAGAGAACAATCCAATCATTTAGGGTTTGCAGGTAGGGAGAGGATAGACATTAGAGCCAAAGAAATGTCATCATCTTCCTAACTGACCCAGCCAAGAATTCCTTCCTTCAGCAATATCAATGCTTATGCTGCCTTCACTAGAATTCATAGTGAGCGCAATTTCTCTTTGTTTATTGTAAGTGCCCTAACTTGAACAGATACCCTGCTAACCTGTGGGCAATTATTGCATTGGACAATCTTTTCTTGCCGAAAAGCGAAATGCCCCGTTTCGCTCTGCATTATGCTACAGGTGCACACACATCAGGATTGTTAATTTTTGCCCCTGTATACGGTTATGAAACTGGCTCTACCTTTGAATGCCAATAATAAACATATTTAAAAACAACTGACTTAAATGACTGTCGTTTAGTTCCTAAAATGCGATTTACATTAGCCACGACGACGCTATGAGGCAGGTTGTAAGCAGCGCGATTGTGAAGTAGGAGCATGTGGGATATGGGCTCCACTTGAGTAAGCTATCAGCTCGAATCCTACAAACAACTTTTGCTTGACAAATTCGCTACATACCTAGTGTCAGACAGATGCCTCCTTCTGGTCAGGTAGTACCCTTGTCGCACCCTTGCCCTATTTTACCCCTGTATGTGTCTGCTTGTACTCAAAGGCTGCCTAGTTTAATCTCATTGGCGTCGGCATTCACCTTTAAAATTCAGCAGCATTAGGGTTTTGGGTGTTAAAGAAAGACAACGCATGGTGAAGTAGAGCCTTGATGAACTTCTTCAAGATAAGTGGTGCCGAAGATTTACGTTTAATGATCATATTTTTTTAGAACCCTGTGAACCTCTCCTACTTCTTTATAACCAGAATACGCAGCAGCGCAATGCCTTATCCAACGGGTAAGAATGTCTATTGTACTGAGAGATAGGAAGAGGCTGACAGCAGCCGCATCTCCATTGGGCGCGATGAAATCTGTGTGAGCTGGTGCTGCAGACAAGATCTGCTTGCCTGTTGGTGGTGCTGTCAGCCCCTGACCCGCGAAAATCGCTATTCCATTCCCGAGGCCGAGTGAACAAATATATGTTTGGCCAAACACCTACTTCCTCCTCTATTGTCAGCATTTGACAATGTCAAGGAATAACTGAATTCTGCCATTTATCTGTATCGGAGCTTTCTTGTCGCGAGTAGAAAAGAAAATGAGTTCCTTATTGGTCAAAAGACCACAAAGTCTCCCTTTGTTGATGTAAGTAGATACAACGGCGCCCATTCACAATTTTGTTGTTTATCCACATTGGTGTCCCTAGAGTGACATATATTTTGTGGTGCAGGTCTCTCTTAATCCATAATTCGTGCCCTAACTATTTCTCATCAATAGAGTCGAGAAGTACAATTTGCGTAAGAAATCAAGAATGGACCCGGATGGCATCGCCTTGTTCAAGAAACCGGTTGACCACTATTAGCCTTTAGCTTACCATTTGTGCAACATCACATCCATAAAGATGCGACTTAGCCATGAAGACATTATTTAGCCAGAGGTGCATCTAAATCCATGGCCTACAATTTGCGGCACCTAGAAATGCCTACTTGGGGAAACTGGCGCTTTACCGGAGAAGGAGTTACCTATGAATCGACACACTACTGAGCGAAACCGACAAGTGATGGGAGGTGTGGAGGAATGAAATTGGCAAGAATACTCGTTTTATTGAAGTAACTGCCAATCTATCAATTAAATGCTAATGGCCAAAGGTATCAGCTTCTTTCGATTTGCAGTGTTTGCCTTTATTTGACCCGATAATGATTTCTGCAGACGATATAAGTGCAGGGGAAGGAAGACTTGACGTCAATGAAGGCACCAAATCGACACCCTTGATAGCTTCCTCAATCACTCCACTGGATTAGAGTTATAGTCTTCGACTATCGTGCAACTCATGAAATACCAGAATCACAATGGCAATGAATATGAGGCAATCTGTATGCAGTAAACAGATGATGATTTATAGTTCAGATTGTTCGTCGGAGTATTTGATAAGAAACCACATTACCAGTTATTCCTTGTGTTCCTCTTCCACCGTCTTTTTCACAAACACGTGCCTCTGCTTTTCCAGTCAACTCTAAATCGTCAAGGCCTGTTCAATTTCACTGGGGTTGGGAAGACTTTAAAGTAAGAGCTGATTTATTTTATCTACAAACCGATGATCTGCAGCATTATGCATAACTGGCAAGAGGATGGTTCAGAACAACCATGAGGCTCTGGCAAATAGTAGAAAGAAGTTTGCTAACTGCCTGCCTAAAGATCAAGATGATGTGCTTGCTCCGCATTCTTCAACATCATGAATTATAAGTTCACAAAATTTTTTTCTTTGTAAGTCGGACGTGGTCTTGCTCATTCAGAAAACTGAATATTTCACAAAGGCCATTTTCACAGATCGCTCATTTCGAAGTGAATGTAAATTTTCCCTTTGATCAGACGAAAATATCGCCCACCTCAGATAATTTATTGTTGCTACTAACGAACAAAAAATTCTGTTGAATTATCAACACTAGTCTAGAAATTATGGACATTCGTGACAGCTTTGCCTTTAGGAAAATGATTGGCAACGTAATCGCGACCAACACATCCACCTTACAATGACCGATAGAGGCGGCATTATTTACAGCATTAACATTAACTTCATTGGAGTGCTTTTACACCCGTTAAACAATCTGCTAAAGTAAGATGAATGGGGTGCCGTTTTTGGGGCTTGACGTCTTCCAATGCATGGCATGACTTCGTTAACATCTATGCTAAATCTCGTCATATTTTTGCTCCTAAATTGCTGCAACACATTAAAGCAGTCACGCTAGATGTCTTGGTGTAGATCCAAATAAATAAAGCTCTGGCTAAACACATATTCAGATGTTCATTGCCTTTTCCTTGAATTGGAAGCACATTAACAACAAACTCGGCTACCACTTTGCCCATGCAAACTTCTTCACGTTATGACCCAAACTTAAGTGCTTCCAAATGTTGCTGACTTTGCAGCTATGTGTTTCAGAATGAAAGAGTATCTTGCTGTGGTCTTTAGAGCACGGGAGCTTAAAAAGAGTGCCAAGCAGCACCAACGGGCAATCTAAACAGCAGTTAATGCCGAATGAACCAAGTAGCAACCATGAGTCAAGTTGCTTTTGTTTCACTCTTTTGGTAGTTTTTATTCATCTTTGGTAACACAGTAAGGAGTACTAGAATGGTAAGGGCTGTAAACGCCATCGTCGCATTATGTTGTTCACGTGGCAGGAAAAACTGCAACTTATTTCACTAGTAAACAGAAGTCATTTGGCTTTTCGTAGATACCAATAAACTCCTTACTAAAACCGACTCAGTACGCTTCGAATTTCATGTAGAACGCTTTAGAGCCAACAGCGTTTATGAGAATCTGAACACATCTAGCTGGATTGTGTGCTATATTTACTCAATACCAATGTCTTCCGTGACGCAATATCATCACACAGAAATGTAGGAAAAAATTAACCCTTACAGTTGTCATCACCCTTGATGTCAGGCAGCTCGTCAGCTCCCTTCTTCCTTTTCGATTTCTTTTCTAGTCTAAAAATATCTGCGCTAATGGTAATGAAAAGGCCGATCATTTAACTCGAATTCTTGTATGGAAAGGTAAGGACATTTACAATTTCGGTTACTTCCTTTATTCTTCACTCAAAATCCCGTCCATGCTCGACACTTCCCTGTTTGCTGTTCACATTGACGTCGTATCCTTCACAACTGATCTCGACAAGTGTCTCTACCCAATTCATATTTTTGTGAAAATGGAGACTTCCTCACATACTTTTTCAGTCTACCATGGGGACGGCCGTCCCTACAGCTGATCACATTGCAGCATCACCACAGACGGCCATGCACACGACTTCGCATACTGTAAGCTGTGCTTACTATCACCCATTTTTACCGGCTTCAACGCATGCAAGCATGTTTCTAGTGTGCGTACTTTAGTTGATACTGACTTGTGTCGCCTTTTATATTATACTTAACATTTCGTTTCACGTGATGCACGTAGCCCATATACTTTCAGTTCGACATTCGTAACTGACACCCTCCATCAGTGAGAAGGCATATAAATTTGGCATCGCAAATAGATGGAAATATATGGCACAAGATGAGGCGATTTCAGAGAATATGAAGCATAACATGCACGGTGTCACCATCCACTTCGGTGTGCACCATCTATCTCTGGCTCATCCGCCACCTATTCCATCTAGCGAGATCAGGTAACCAGAAATAATGCATGCTGTCGTGTCATGAACTAGCCTTGGTGGTCTTTAGAGCACAGGAGCTTAAAAAGAGTGACGGCGAGGCAATCTGTTGAGTGACACGAGGTCATAGTGTCAGCATCCAAACGTAGACGACATACTATGATAATGACACGCATTTTACATGCATTACGTGTACTACGTTACATGCATTTATATTTCGCTTCAGGCGTATTCAGACTTGTAGCTCCCTCAATGTCTGCCTAAGCTACACAAATAATTGTCTGATTCTTCTTCTCGGAGGTGGGCCATCCCGAATTTGGGAGTCAACACCGACGGTGAAGCCTGCCCTTTTCTTAATGCTCAATGAACCTATACACTACAGGTGATTCGGCCAATTTGCACTTCGGTGGCATCTGTTATGGCACGGAAATAAAATATTTGTGGCAAATTTTGAAAGAGTGGGGAATAAATTGGGTGACTAAAGAAAATTTTCTTGTTCTACATAAGCCCCTATTAATGAAATAGTGGACACTTAGTAAAGTTTATGATGCAACCCCTAAGTGAGTTAACATACATTGTTTTGACTGCTGCTTTTGCAAATAGGCCATTTTACTTCTCTAACTTTCTATTCTCGCTGGAAATATTGGCTTGGTACGTCTTTGGGTAGTCTTCTTTAAGAAATTCCCCATTGCTGGTTGATTGGTGGCAGGTTGTAAGTTGAGGGAGTCAATTCAGGACTCGATCGCTGGAGCTAAAATAGGCAAGCTGGAAAGGTGTGGTCGTTCGGTCGGCTCCGTGTATACTGCTGGCTAACATTTCAATAATGTTGATGGCAGCATAAGAATGCGTCCCACGCATTGTGAAAAAAGGATTCTATTTCGAATAAGCATAAGCCATCTTAGTACACTGCGTGTTTTATTGCCAAAATGCTTCGCAACTTTGCCAAAGGCCATAATAGTCAGTAAGCTTGATCCTATTCATACATTTAATTTCTCGAAATGCTTTTGTATTACCTCAACAAAAACCATTGGATTTCATGATATAATCTTATTTGCAATCCAAACTTGCCAGTTAATTCGGCTGTATTACGCCTCTAAAATTAGACTCCAAATCATGTCTTTCTTGCGCGTTCTTCTATTTGAATCTTACTTTTCGCCTAAGTATTACGACTTTCAAAGCTGTATAAACCAAATAAAAAAATAAGCTCAGTCTGCCGATGTTACATCGTTGCCAATTATTGATATCCAAAAAGTAGTCTGTGGCTCTGCGTGGGTGCGGTGTTAAAGACGTGACGCTAATTTTTCGAGCGGTTGAAATTGCCATAACATTGTGTGCCACATTGGTGGCTATTTTAATGCGTTAGATTGGTCCTTAATTAACGTTAAGAATTTGTAACTTTGTGCATTCCTAGAAGAAAGAAACAAATAATAACTTTCATTGCAATGACTTGGCATATTTGTGCGGGGAATCGAAATATGAAGGCAGTGAGAAATGTTCTTTAATAGAGTGACCAATTATGCTGGACACATAGAATCTACTCCTTGGGATAGCAAATGACAAAGATCAAGCAGAAGTAAAAGCAATTAGCGAGAAAAATGTGCCTTTCTGCATGAAATAATGCATTACCCAGCATCCGACACTGAGCTCGGCATGCCTATGCTAGTGTTGCCAAACGCTGCTTAGCAAATGACAATTCACCGGAACTCAGTGCATCTTTCCTTTAGAACCACGATCACTTTCACGCATGGCTGGATGGAAGAAGGGTGGGTAAATGCGGTTGACGTTTGTTCGGGACGGTCCTACCCCTCAGGCAGAATCGTATGGCACTTTGCATGTTCTCCACTTATTACCTCCTTTCTCTCATCTACCCATACTTATATCCATCCCCCTATTATTCTTTTATATTTGCCATCTATTGCGCGTCTATTTATCTGCAGAAACCCGCGGTTAACTTCTCATTGCTTCCATAAGTCTGTTGATTCGGTAGTTACACTAATGGTTTCTTATATTCACACAACGGTTAGCCGCGTTGTCTGCAGTGCATGGTTTGTTGTTTTGAACCAAAGTCCTGCACAAGGTAAGAAGCTGCATGGGCTGCAACTGGTTTGGTTGATGCGATTTTCGCGACCTTCCGCCTTTTGGTTCACATGTGCTGATGGTGCCATCAAAGGTCAGAACAGAAGTCAAAATACCACCATCGCAATGACATCGTTCTAATCAAGGAGATTCGGTGCATTTGCTGCGCCGATGGCCAATTTTTATGCATCTTCACATATCCTGTTTCTAAGGAGGCCACTAAGCAGTTGTAATGTGTAATGTGCTGAAGGTTTCCTCATACTTGTCAGCTGTCATTCATGCAACACCACCGTGTGCAACACTTAAAAATTACCAAAATATTTCCAGATTATAAGGAAATTGGTGACCGTCCTGTGAGTTTGACATCAATTGCCTGAATTACTTTATAGGCAGAGACACATACGTGCAGTTATGGTGGTTGATTAACGGTTGTGTAGCATTGGCTGGCAAGTAAATACTTACTCCTTTCTCCAGCATCCCTGCTTGTGCTGACTGTGAGCCAATCACTTTAGTATTTAAAGCAACATGCTTTTTCATAGCCTTTGACTTTCACATATTTTGACTTTTATATCTGTGCACAGGCAAACGCACATGCAAATTATGCATTCTTCCACCCATTCATACATGTGTATGTAAATATGTGTAAATGCACTGCCATGAGCATGTAAAAGCACAGGGTTGTTTCTTTATCTGCTAACGGATAAGGCTCAGAATCCGTAAAAGAAACCAAACACTTGCACTAGAAATAGCAATTGCT